TTTAAAAAAAAAAAAAAAAAAAAAATACAACTTTTGATATTTGTTGATATTTTTCCTTTGTGTAAAATGTGATAGAATATTTAAACTCACATACTGGCTCACACAGACTGGCCCATTCCGACTGGCCCATACAGACAGGCTCATACAGACTTGCCGCTTGATGTCTGTCACACAGATCTCTTGTGCCACGAAAAAAAAAAAAAAACAAACCCCTATGCAACTATGAGTGAGGTAGTTGTATGGAGAGAATGGGGCGAGTCCATTGGCGCAAAATAAAGGCTTTTACATGACAACAGTTGGTTTTGTTTTTTTTTAAAAAGCCAAAAAAATCTGTCGCCTCATTAAAATACAAGCTTCGTAACCCACTCAAAAAAAAACCCCACCCACCACCACCCACCCCCCTGAACATTTTGCCACAATGGCTCAGGATGAGAGACCACAAAATGATCTACGGTCCTCCCTTTTTTTGTTTTTCTTGGGCCCACCCAATATGTAAGATATCGTTTATTTATTCATTAATAAAATAAATCATAGTTTTCAAGATTTTTTTAAAGGCCTTCCGAAACTTAAACCCACCTTCTCCTGCCCAGTCATAGTCCATCCAGGCTGGTATAGATAGATCATTGATTGAAATGCATAATAAATATTTATAAATTGATTTATTAATGAGACTGGGGGAGAAAGAACGTTGGATTAGAGAAATTTAATAGGAGGAGGAGGGGGACAAAAAAAAGGAAAGAAATAAAAAGATTTAAAAAACAAAGATTGGGAGTCCCTTGGCCCCGTGGCGATGCCCGATCAAAGGGTAATGGGGAGGTGGGTGGGTGGGAAAGGGGAATGGGTGGTGTTCAAAGGTATCGTATGCTTCACCTGTAAGGTACGTATTGCATTACGCGATTAGTCACCTGTGTAATCACAAAGGGCGGAACGCAGGGACAGAGTCTTTGAGTCTGCGTCTGCTGAGCATAAACGTGGTTATTTTATAATTGCTGCCGGGAGGGGGGGGGGAATTAGGTGGCCCCACACGACAACGGCGAAGTTATGTGGCCCAAAAGACAACGGCGAAATTACGTAGCCCACTAGACCAAGTTAAAGCTATGTGGCCCACTGGGCTAGGGCGAAAGGATGTGGCCCACTAAAGAAGGGCGAAAGTATGTGGCCCCACAAGACAAAAACGAAATTACGTGGCCCACGAAGACAAGGGCGACATTTTGGTTTTCTATAATATTTTTTTAACAAATTTTTATTGAACGCAGGTCTTAGGATATTGAACGTACGCCCACATCGGCATAAATTAGTAACACGGTTTGCGACAGTTTGAGCATCAACTAAATCTAGCGCAGTGGTTCTTAACCTTTTTGGTGGTACCAGACTCCACCAGTTTCATATGCGCATTTCCCGAACCCTTCTTATAGCAAAAATAAAATAGGATTTTTTTCTGATTTTTTTTGGACCTCCGCCGAACCCCTGAGCATGACTCACTGAACCCCTTGGGTTCGATCGAACCCAGGTTAAGAACCACTGATCTAGCGGCTCATCTTGCTATGGAGAAAATATGATACTTCACGGTTTCTTTTTTTATATTTTTTGTTTAACATTGGCCAGGTACCTGCACAGTTACCTAATCCCTCCCAGTCACCTGCAAAGTTACCTAATCCATCCCAGTCACCTGCACAGTTACCTAATCCCTCCCAGTCATCTGCAGTTACCTAATCCCTCCCAGTTTCCTGCAGTTACCTAATCCCTCCCAGTTTCCTTAAGTTACCTAATCCCTCCCAGTTACCTGCACAGTTACTTAATCTCTCCCAGTTTCCTGCAGTTACCTAACCCCTCCCAGTTTCCTGCAGTTACCAAATCCCTCCCAGTTTCCTGCAGTTACCAAATCCCTCCCAGTTTCCTGCAGTTTCCAAGTCCCTCCCAGTTTCCTGCAGTTACCTAATCCCTCCCAGTTACCTGTTCACTCGACCAGATAGTTACATTCATGCTAAGCCTTTCTAAAGCCCCACGACTCGGGTGTTTTATCCGATATGGTTAAAGCATATACTTAATAAGTTCAATTTATTCAAGTTTCCATTTTATTAAGCGGCAAAGACCTGTAAGGACCTGCATGAGGACCAGTATGAGGACCTGCATGAGGACCTGTATGACGACGCGGATGAGGAAACACCTTAATCTCGTCATATTCTTTTCTTTTTTTTTTTAATGTTTATCTTGACAATCTTCTTTTTATATTGATCCTGGCCCGCGGGCCAAATTTGGCCCTTGCTGTAAATGATGAATCTATAATTTGAAAGCACATTTTGTCACGAATGTTCTGGGGCTGTTATTTTCATCGCATAAGCGAATTCCCCATCGATTTTTAGCGGTAGCGGGTCGGTGTTCACTTTGGTGACCTCTATCTTCTGTGTGACAGGTGGGGACGCTTCAGTAATATTTACACATTCAATTTACATAAAATGTCATTTGTTATGAAAGGAAAAGTTATGTAACGCTAAATCGACTAAATCCATCACGTGACAAGCTCAGGTGCATCATTTTGGGTTGGAGGGGGAGTCGGGTTGGGGGGGGGTGGTCTTAATCGCTCGATCCTATGACTTCCGTCATGGTTCCTTAAGCTAAAGCTGATGACGACAACATTCTGTAGTAGTTGGTTATCCGTAAGGCTATTAATAGTTTAG